CACCATTGGGATCATCACCTAGTGGTAACAAATGTTCAAGATGCGGTAGAAGACCTCATTCAAAACAAGATTGTCCAGCTAGGAGCGTTACATGCTACTCCTGTAAAAAGGCTGGTCACTTCAGCTCACAGTGCTTCTCAAAACACAAAAAGAGAGTTTCTGACATTAAGATAGAGGCACGGTCAAAGGAACTGGGGACAGACGAGGATATAAAATACCTCAATGTAATTATACTCTGGGCCCCAATCAAAGCTCACTTAATACCACACTTAGTTCAGAGTAGATAGTTATATTACACTTATAATTTTAACTTTGATTCTGAGGTACATTAATTCTTCAGTTACAGAAACAATTTACTATTTTTAACATAAATAGGTATCTAAAGTATTGCTGACAACAGAGTTGCCAGGAGATGAGAATGCTCTTTATGAATATGTTGATGAGCTTAGAGACTGTCCTTTATCACCTTCTTCCTCATCCTCCTCTTCCTCTGAACAACAGATAAATGCATTATCATTATAACACTTCATGTGCCTCAAACATACTGTCTGTTTTGTTTTATAATAATTTCACTTTTTATAATGAGCGCAATACATATTTTTATCAATTACATATTTTGCAGCTAAAATTAAAGGATTTTAATGATTAAAATTCTTTGCGTTTATAAATAAATTCTTTTAAACTTAGGTTTATATCTAGTCTGGCCCCACCTCTTTGTTGCATGGAGTGGCCACCCTTGCGCAACAATGAGGCGGCACCAGACTAGCTTATATCATAGTGTACTGTGTCATGCACTGATTGATGATAGTGGGGCAGTTGGCATTGTAATGCATGTGCTGGTATTAGCAATGTAGCATACAGAGTTGAAACCACCATCACTAACCAACGATAGACATAAACTACAGGCTATCATTTTCACAAAATTGCATATTTTAAAATGACCGTAACTCAAAAAACTGAAGTCGAAATCAGTTCAAACTTTCTACATAGCATGAATATGCTAATATTGCCAAATATTTCACAATCATCAATCAGTCCACAATACATGCATACTTGATAATGCATTTCACTTTTTTATTGTGAGGCTTGACTATAGGCATAGTAAAGGAATTATAGTAACAGAATTAGAATCTAGTAAATTTGCAATTAGTAAATTAGTAATTAGCAAAGGAATTAAAACAATACTAGATCTATACTATGGGCAGCCATTAGGCTTGCCAAATTAGGAACACTGTCTAAGACGCCAGGTGTCCTCCTCAATTGAGGCTCAGATAGTTGTAAGAGAGAGTAGGTTATAATAAAACTCCAACTGCTAGAAACAAACAACAGCTATTTTGTAGCTACAATTAAAAAAATAGTTTAAAATTTCTTGCTTTTTATGAATAGATCTTGCTAACTTAGGTTTGTATGTACTGTGTCATATTAGCATACTGAGTTGGTTATTGTGACAAACCAACCATAGATTATGAACTGTAGTAGTAGATTTATACTAATAATTTTTATTGATATGCTAATATCACATTAATGCCAACTATCCCACAATCATCAATTTGTGTACAGTACATACACATCTAAAATTACTTTGGTGCCATTAAATGCACTAAACTAGATAGATCTAGGTATGGTCACCTTTATTCATCATGATCATAGACAGTAGAGTATATGCTCTATCTATATTTATGTCATGATGCAACAATGATATGACTGTTGCACTGCAATTAATATTAGGAACACAATTATTTTATAAGATGCCTGACCATGCATGCATGTAACTTTTAAGGGAGAGTAGAACTCCGACTACCAGAAACAAACAACAGCTGCCTTTAATCTACATCATGCTGATTTTTCACTACCTGTTGAGCTTCATAATCTTTTCATCAAATGGTCAAGTTGTATCTGGTTGTCCTAGAAGTAAGCAAGAGAGAGTCTATTAAACTATTCATATTAAACCAAACTATTTACATGCAGAGACTATTTGTTTAGGTCACAGCACTAGCAGAGTATCTCAAAGTCAAGGAGACTCTGTATCCAGTATTCTTAAAGATGCATATGAACAGTTTTGTGGTTCTGAGTACATTGAAGACAATATAGTTATTAGAACAGGCTCTGGTCTTGTTGATATAAGCCAGCCTTTAGTGGAAGCTAATTTCTCTTTCCTTTATTATGTGAAAGAGATCAGTGGCTATCTTGAACTGAACAACATACCATCCATTGAAAGGCTCTCCCTGCCTAGGCTGAGACTCATACGTGGGAGGAATTTACGTTCTGGACGTTATAGCTTACTAGTGTCTGGAAGGATAGAAACTCTTCACATGCCCAGCTTAACTGAGATCAGTCGAGGTGATGTCATGTTAGGTAGCTCTAGTCTTAATTCTTACTTGTGTAATACTAGATCAATTAATTGGACTGATATTGCCCCTTTTCCTGTCAGTGGTCATCAATTCAGCAGGACAGATGGTTGCAATGATTTAGGTAAAATAATTTTTGTGAATTATTATTGTCATTAAAGTTATCATTTAGATATAATTGACTGTAATGCATTAGGATGCAGCTCAGGGTTTTGCTGGTGTAATGACACTGATTGCTGCCAAACATGTGAGGAAAAATTAACATAATCTAATTAATATATCAATTTAGTATCATTTAATTGCAATTGCCACAACAATAGTCGTTGTTTCAGAGATGGTCCAAACATACAATGTTGCGATTCGCAGTGTGTTGCTGGTTGCAGTGGTAATGGTGATACTTTCTGTAGGGTATGTGATAAAGACATGTATGTTAATATTTTTGCATCATATGCTCTAGGCTTGTAAAAATGTTTTGGATGATGGTGTGTGCCGAGAGAGGTGCCCTGAACAATATATAATTGATCCTTTTGCTCGAACTGTTATACCCAATCCACTATTTAAACTTGAAGCTAAGCCACTTTGTGTTTATTCTTGTCCAGGTATATCTCAGTACTAACTATTACTTCTTGATTATTATAAGATATGCTTTTTGAACTGTAACAGACGCTCCAACTATCTGTTAACCAAACTTTATTCTTAATCAACACGAGACTCAACTGAGCTCAAAAACCAACTAACAAAAACAAAACTAACTCACAACTAACTAACAACACACTTATATAGATATTATAAATGTCCAGAAGGTTCTATAACATACAAGAATACTTTACATGATTGTTCTAGAATATACTTGAATAAACACATAATATATAATTACAATAGTACACAGAGAGTTCCAGATCCATTCAGAAACAACTTCTTACATTTCCTCCCTTCCCCTCTGGCACAAAGTGCTCTTCCTCTCCAATCTAGAAAGTGCATCTGCATTTGCATTTGCTACCCCTTTCCGATGTTGTATAGTGAAATTATATGGTTGCAGAATCAAACTCCATCTAGTCAATCTTGCATTCTTCTCTTTAAACTTGTGTAGCCATTGAAGAGCTCTATGATCCGTTTGAATAATAAAAGATCTCCCTATGAGATATGCACTGAAATGCTTGATGGCTAGAATAATAGCTAAGCACTCTTTTTCGACTGTCGAGTATGCTTGTTCTCTCGGGAGTAGCTTTTTACTAAAATAAGCAACTGGTCCCTCATCTAAATTCTCCTCTCCTTGACTAAGAATTACACCAACTCCTACTCCTGAAGCATCAGTTTGCAATATAAATGGTTGGTTGAAGTTCGGATTTTTCATTAATGGTGCTGTAGTTAATACTGTTTTTAGCTTCTGAAATGCCAATTCTGCCTTCTCACTCCATATGACCCGTTCAGGCAGCTTTTTCCTTGTCAATTCAGTCAAGGGTTCTGCTATCGAAGCATAATCCTGCACAAACCTACGGTAGTATCCA